ATTTAATCTACATGCATGTAGCCACATTTTGCTCAAAAATTTTACTCATTGATGCGTAATAATAATTATACTAATGCATGACACTCTTGTTGTATTGTACATGATAACATTAAAGGTTGGGGTCAAGCACTGACCTAAATGCTTAAGCACAAGCACCAGCACTTCGAAAAGGGCTTAAAGCATAACCATTCTCTGATGGCTTCTGCAATTGGAGTGCTTAAGCACAAGCACAAGCACTTTTAAACGTGCTTCAAGCACTACTTCAAGCATTTCTGTAATAGAACTCTGTATTAAGTAATACTAATAAACAAGTCCATGCCTGGTCTACAGACCTTTCCTGCTAAGCTGACCAACCTCTTTATGGGTGTTGATGCTAGCTAACTACACTTACTACAGAGCTGTATTTTTATAGTGACATGTTAGATTAAAATAACTAAAACTTTTATGTACTCATGGTGCTACCCACTCAAAATAGTGCGTAATGCTTTAAGATGTCTTTATAAGCACTATCAGAGCAAAGTGCTGAAGTACAAGCACAAGCATTTGTGATTTAATCAGATTAACTGCTTGAAAGCATGGGAGGCACTTGTAACAATGTGGTTAAAGCACTTTTAAGCACAAGCACTCAAGTGCCTGCCCCATCTCTGATAAAAACACAAGTGCAAGTGCAAAGATTCTTGCAATAATTATTACTGATTGTTTTAATGCATTATGACAGATTTCACCAATTGCCTGAGCCAGTTCTTGGAGAAGATGGGCATTACCTTCATTTTAATCATGTGTATGGTACTCAGGAGGCACTTGAAATAGCTGCTACTCAAGAACTAGTAAGAAAAGAAAGATGGCACTGCCTTTTAACGTGACACAGCAACATGTCAAAAATGTAAATCTAGTCATTTAATGTGAAGAATGTCAATTGTGGCACCTTCTGTTTTCTATAAAGAAAATAAGTTCCAAAAGATTGCAAAATTAAATAAAGTTACTCAGGATATTTCCTATACTTTCAGGCTTGATTGGAAGACATACAACTTCCTGTTGACGAAAAAGTTATTGTCAAGGTACGCAGCTGCAATGACCCAATTGAAAAATTATACTATAGTTGTTGGTTTCAAACAATTTGTGTACATTGTGGCAGTTACCCTACAACTGATTTATTATGATGAATATTATCCTCAATGTGTTTTATGCACAGATAAATCACCAATCAAGCGTGCTACAAGAATGCACATTCAGCACTGAGCCACTAATCTCCCTGCTTCTGTTGTCTCCATAATAATCTTGTTATAAATGATTTATTATTATTAGAAAAGTAATGTTTGTGTGACTTTTCTTTTGTGTATTTTGTATTTACTAATTGTACCAGTCCTTGCTTTTCACTTTTTTTCTTTACATTTTTTGTACTTTAAACATTGGTGCCTCTTTTGAATATATTATTAATAATAACTATTAATAATGAAGTAACTATAGCTACCCACCCGCCCGCTTCCTTCCTATTAAGGTTGAGTAACTATAAATCTAGTCACTGTGGCCTAGTAACAATAATTGACAATAAAAACAGCGCATAGAAACTGCATAATAACAGAGCCGGAAAGGATTATAGCAAATTAAAAAAATTGTTTACAGCAACTATAAGAAGCTGAGATTTCTTTATTTTCATTGCAAACATTCAGTTTAGATGTACTAGACACTTATTTTGGCTATGAACAGCTCAAGGTTACAGATCAACCACTTTAGCAAAAATAAAGACCTTAAAGTTACAGTTAGTGGTTTGTTTAGGTTCCTCAAGACATAAAAGAAACTGCAACTATTGCTGAACATCCCGATAATGAGGAGTGTCATAAGTATTTGTTTACACAGTGTATTGTTACATTTAACCACTACTGTATATACAATACTACGATCTATCAAAAGAGACCAGGTGGTGGCCAGAACATCACTTGCTACTGGAGTCAGTGAATCTACCGTCAAGCGAGTCACGAAAGAGTATAGAGCTGAAGGACAGTTCAAGAGTCCAGAGAAGAGATAAGTGAAAGACAGAGTATGTGTACACCAGATGACTTCAACAGAGATGCCATCAGAAGAATCATTCATGATTCTTACTTGAGCAGAGACTATCCTACACTGGATTCTGTTCTACAGAAAGCGAGGTCATCTGGTGTATTTGACGGTGGATGAACGACTCTCAGTAAATTACTGAAATCTATGGGGTTCCATTATAAGAAGAGAGAGGATGGGAAGAAGTACATTTATGAGCAACCCCGGGTAATCAAACAGCGACATCAATATCTCTTCGTCAAATGAGACTCAACAGGGAAGAAAGGAGACCGGAGGTATTTCTGGATGAAACATGGACGAACTCACAGAGAAGCTGTGGGCTGATAGAAATGGAACTGGAGGCTGGAGATATCCAAGTGGGAAGGGAGAGAGGCTCATCATCGTGCATGCTGGTACTTCAAGTGGGTGGATTTCCAACTCTGGAAATTTTTTTCATTCGAAGAAAACCTCCGGAGACTACAATGATGAGATGAATTCTACCCACTTTTTGGAATGGTTCGAGCTCAGTCTCATCCCCAACCTTCCTCTAACTTTCTCATTATTCTGGACAACGCCAATTACCACAACACCGTTGTCGAGAAAACACCAACAAAGAGTTGGACAAAGAGAGCGATAAAGGCAAGGTTGGATAATCGTGGACTTCCATGTCATCCAAATGATCTGAAAAAGATTTATTTGGAATTATCCAATCATGCCACACTTCCACAGTCTATCACACTGATAGACTAGCTCACCAGCATGGTCACGAAGTGGTCAGACTGCCTATCTCCCACTGTGAACTCAATCCCATCGAGATGGCCTGGGCAACATTGAAGGACTACATCAGGAAGAACAACACCACCTTCCGACTCTCTGATGTGCAGTCACTTATACCAGCAGCATTCGATGAGGTCACAAGTTCTCATTGGGAGAAGATGCGTTGACGCGTCACTAAAGTCGAGGACGACTACTGGGAGAAGGACGGACTGTTAGAGGTGGAGATGGAAGGGTTTATAATAATTCTGGGTGGTCCTGACAGTAGTGACGATGAAGATGATAGTGACAACAATGATTATGCTGGTGACTGCAGTAGTGAGGAGGATTTGGAAGATAATGAGTATGACGTGAGACTCCTTCACCAAGAGGAACAGTTACTGAGAGAGATGATGTCCCTAGAAAGGGAACGGCATTAGACTCAGTGATAGCTACTCTCTCCTCATCTCTTCAAACCACTCTTTACTACTACTGCCTCCTCTCTCTCCCTCCCACTCACTCTTTAACTAACCAGTTTTTTCAAAGCTACCAGTTACCAAAATGATCTCTACAAATTAAAACTGATGTATAGCATAATGCGAAGGTGGAATATAGCCCGAGATCTAGGCATGATATTAGTTATCCTGATACATTTAAAAAGTAGTATTTCTATATGCTTGCATGATAACTTAACTTACTGATATAGGCCTTTTGAGGCTTTTGTAAACTGTAGAAAGCGAGGTAGAAAGTCCTTTACCTCAAGAAGATTTGCAACACGTGTTTGACTATGTTTAGCAGACATTATTACATCACCATGACATCACCCAGCCCGCGTTGCTAGGCCTTGCATAATTGAGGTCAAAGCTATGACATTAAGTTTATACAGGGACATCCAAAGAAGGCTAAGGCTTTATCAATTTGACCCGATCTTTTTATCTAAAGGATGGGAAGGACCTAGCTATTGTAATGGTGCAAACAAAATTTCTAAATTCCATGTTTATCAAAAGTTATAACAAAATATCAATAGGTCAGGTGAAACTAAACAGACTTTAGTAGATGATAAGACCAATGCTGTAAAGCTTCAGCAAATTCTAGCTGAGAAACAATACCCATTGTCACTAAAGACTACTCTGTCTTCTAGGATTGACTTTTAGAGGCAGTGCTAACTGCCAAATAATACGTTAAGAAAACAAGGTGAGACTATAGTATTTACAGGTACATGTAATTATGACCATTTAAAATAAAGAGGTTAACATGGATGAAAGCTCATTTACAAGAAGGCATAAATGATAGCCTGGGTCCCTTTCTTTCTACAACAAAATCTCATGTGAGATTCAAGAATCACAGTAGCCTCATCAGTCTATAGAACATACTTAAACCCAAGTCAAAACCAAGGTTAGTCTAAAAATTACTGATATCAATGTACATGTTTGTGTAATTCTATAGACTCAAGTGTCCCGTTAAAGTTAATATATGGCTTGCAATTGGTTGGGAGGACAATAATCCAATAGTAGTTTTCAAAGGCATGATCAATTTTTCAGGATTTATTGCAGAACTGCAAACTGGGCCGGTGCCATACCTTCGTGAAGTCAATGAAAGCCCAAAAATAATGATGGACAATGACCCCAAACAAGCTTCCAAAAGGGTGGCAAAGTTGATTGTGGACAACAACATAAATTAGTGGAGAACATCTGCTCAATCCTCCAATTTCAATGCCATTGAGAATGTCTGGCACAAGCTGAAGAAGTACAGAACTTTGTATGAGCTGATGTTAGGGATAACAAAGTTCTGGGAAGCAGTCATTATTTGGAAATGTAGGAAATACATTAGACATTTAAAGGAAGTGGTTCCAGTGGTAATGGAAGCTGATTGGCATCCAAAAATATTTTATTCTTCCCATTAGCTCATCCTGGTTCTTTGGCTTGACAACAGTTCTAATATGATACTTCATTGAGCCCCATACATTCTCTATGACTTCAGGTATATAATAGACTACATAACCAGGATTGGCTACAGACCGGAAATCAATTATCTGACTATGTTATTTTGAATTAATTATTCATTATTTATTCATGACAGTTTAATGCATTAATAATCATTAATTTACTCGCTTCATGTCCTCCTGTATGGTGAGATCTTTTGCTAGTCAATGGCTCGTTGCAATTCTATTGCTGGGAAGCAATCATTTTCATGTGGTAAGACATTATACTAACTTAACCCTTTAACACCGATAGACGTACTTGTACGTCAATAACATGAGGGGGTGTAGTATAATTGTTATTTTCTTTTTTATTTATGGAAATATAACATTCTAGATAGCTTTAAAAGGTTCTCCTTTCATCTCTGTAACATATATAACATTGTCAAAGACTAAAAACAGAGTATATAGGTAGAAAAGTCCAGTAGCGCGACCCAAACTGTTCAAAATGATCAGCGGCTGAGGTAAGTCACCTAAAAAAAATGACACAACAACAAAAGACAGAATGTTTAGACTTACCTTTGGCTTGTGAAATCCTCTAGAAGTGAGTAGAAAAGGTGAGCGACTCGAGAGAGCTGCTTTGCCTAACATTTCAATGGAGAAAAGTGGTAGGTGTGGCCACATTTTGCTTAGCAACGGCTTAGCAACCATGGCTTCTCGACCAGTCACAGTGGTGTTTCTACTCGTAGCATCTTCTCCACTGACTTCTGCCTCTTCATTCTTTCATATCCTGCCTACTAGGTCCTGCTTTACATGACACAACTCTCTCTTTCCCTTCGCCAAGTCCGTGTATTTGAGAAAAGCGGTGAGTATCTTTACAATAGACGCTGCATTGCTTTATGCCGCTTCATTTACTATTATACTTCTTCTATCTAAGGATGAACATCCCATAAAGGCTGCTAGCAAGTTTTAAGTCTCGCAGGACAAGATCTTGAGAGATATGCATTGCTCAACTAGTACCACCAGAAAATTATTTTTATTCCAAAATTAATTTCGGTGTTAAAGGGTTAAAGTAACAGTGATGTTTAGAGATCTATTTTATATTTTGATTACTAGTGAACTACAGTAGTCTTTTTGCTGATTGTGTTAAAACAAGCACACTTGATTCTACAATATCTAGCCCAATTACAAATTCAAATAGAGAACTAGCAAAACTACTTTTGGACAAATTGAACTCATTGACAGCAGAAAAGAGTGAAGATGCATGGAGACCTTTTGCAGTTGAGTTAATAGCTCAATTCTCTTGCTTTACTTCTTTTGAAGTCTGTCAAAATACGATCAATTGGGAGCAATATCACAAGTACAGATGCACACCTTGTTTTAGGGAAATGTGGATTAAATTTGTGTGATATTACACGAAATCCAGCAATTTCCAGTCTCCTAACTGCTTCCCAGAAGATATCAAATAATTGATCACCATTAACCTCACTGCAAGGAAACTGTACATATGGAAAACTGAAATTATGGCATAATCCTTGAACCATTAGTACAAGCATATATTTGGCAAGAGGTAGTTGTGCTTGATTATTCATAACTTCTCTTTGGAAATCAAGAATATGATTATTAATTTCACCTAGATTTGTGATACCAATCAAAGAACCTATTAAAATTGTATACATATCACAGCTAGCATAACAATTATATGATTTAGTACCACTATGCTTGTAAAACTATAAATATAAACTAAATCAGCTTGAATGTTCATCTCATCTATTAATAAAATAATATATTTCTCTTTGACACTGCATACATCAATTTCAGCCATAGCTCTCAGTTGCTCATCAACATCATCTACAAAATTTATAAATAATATGTATTTAAATTAGTTAGATTTATAGCTACAACTTACCAGAAAAACCAAATGCAGCTGTTGTGTAGTAAGTGTAGTCCCGTAGTGTACTTTGAGATAGCAGACATATGCCAGACTCTTAAAATTGTAAGCACTACCAGATAAATGCCTGAGGTAAAGGCACCATCTAATTATGATTGGATGCCAACGCACTGCTTTTGGTGATACCTCCAGTGCACTCTTCTGATGTTCCCATAGTAACCTTTCAAATGTGCCTTCATCATATAGCAACAAGCGTATTAGTGTAAAAAAATTACTAAGATTGTTTTCACCACCGTATGCTTATCGCTCACGTGCATTATTCGTAGCATCATAATTATTGACTATTATTATTTTAAACCTTATTTATAACAATTTTATACATACATACGTACTGAAACATAACACAAATATACACAAGACAAACACAATTATCATACAATATATATAATCATTGTTTTATATACAATATTATCATACAATATATATATCATCACTCTGAAGAGCCTGATTTTATTGATATTATCATTGCTTAGAAGAGCTAGATTTTGTTTGATAGAAAGAGAGGGCATTTACATGTATCATAAATACACACATATGAATACATGACTATACATACATTAAGAGGAACACAATACATGTACATACATACAAAGCTAAACACATTCATACATTTACAATATTATATGCAAAAATTAATAATGACTAAATACTTTTCATTTATAAAACATCCAATACATAATACATGCATATACATACAATACAAACACAATTATAATATATCTACAGTAAAAATACATTAAAACATATGAATGTTGTCTAATTTATTAAAATATTTTATATCCACTCTAAAGAGTTGGACTTTAGTAATGGTATCTTCACTCAATACATAAAGCAAGAGTGAGATTTTACTTCCTGGGCCCACCATCCATCCCCAATCTCCATCCATTACTATGAATAGAGTC